AAACCAGTCCGGGATTCTGTGGTTTGCCCGTGTCTGTGCCAGTGCACATGGGGAGCGTGATGCAGCCCAGGCTCTGGGGCAGGGCTTTATCTGCTCTGCCTGATGGAGCATGGTGGGTGCACTTGTAGGAAGGGAAGAATAAGAAACTCCTACATGCTGATACCTATTGTTATCCTGTAGATGCCAAAGACCTGGAGCAGCTGAGTCGGAACAAGATCACCCACATTGTTTCGATCCATGAGTCTCCCCAGCCCCTGCTGCAGGTAGGGTCCCCGTGCCCAACACTGCCCTGTGGGTCTCTGCAGCTCCTTCCCTGCTGCAGCATCTTCCCTCCCCCCCGAGCATCCCACAGCACGTACACCACCACCCAGTGGTCCCAGAGGAGCTGGGCAGCCCCCCCAGCCCGGGAAACTGGCCATCTTCTGACTATAACCTGGCCTTGAATGCTAACGGGAAGCAATTCCCATCTCTCCAGCATCATCTTGTTTCTCACCCCCTCCCACGAGCCGCCTGTCCCTCCATTCCCCCCCTTTCTGCCATCCCACGTGGGGGGATGCTGTGCTGGGGGAGCGAAGCCCCACAGGCAGCACTGGGGTGAGGAGCAGACGAGGTGCAAGTCCACATCACACCCCAACCACAGCACCCGACTTTCTCCTCTTCATTCTGTGTCTTCCAGGACATCACCTACCTCCGCATCCCCCTGCCCGACACCCCCGAGGCCAACATGTGAGTACCCCGGGGAGGCTGGTGGGGGGGCTGTGGGAGGGATGAGGGGTGAGGGCTGCCAGCACCTCGAGGTGCTACAGTGACCTGTGGGCACGCTGCCCCGTGCTGGGGACCACCTCTGCACCCTGACAGCACCCCGGGAGCAGGGTCTGGCTGTGGGGCGAGGTGGGGGACAGAGCCCTGCAGCAAGAGGGGCAAAAGGCTGTGGAGCCAGCCAAGGGGGCTGGCGTGGAGCAGCCACGCTCCCTGTGTCCCAGCACAAGTGACACGAGTCCCAGGGCAGCCCCACATGTCCCCAGCAGAGTGAGACCTGCTCCTGTCCCCCGGGGGGCTGGCCCGTGACCTCCCCTTGGGAAACAGCAGCACTGAGCTGCTCGGGTCTCAGCAGCCCCCTGCAAAGCAAGGGGCAGTTGATGTTAGTGCTTCATCCTCCAACACGCAGGGCTGCTCTGCCTGCAGCCTGCAACTCCTGGTCCACCCCTGAAGTCCTTGTTCTGACTGGTTTGTTTTTCCTGCTAGCAAGAGGCACTTCAAGGAATGCATCAGTTTTATACACCAGTGTCGCCTGCACGGAGGGAACTGCCTCGTCCACTGGTAACCCATCTACTTGTCTACTTAAAATCACAGAATCATGGAATTGTTTGGGTTGGAAGAGACCTTTAAGCTCATGGAGTCCAACTGTCCCCCAGCACTGCCAGGTCCCCACTGCCCCGTGTCCCTCACACCACATCTCCACGGCTTGGAAACCCCTCCAGGGGTGGGGACTCCACCACTGCCCTGGGCAGCCTGGCACAGCCCTGGGCAACCCTCCAGGGCAAGAAATTGTTCCTCAGCTCCAACCCAAACCTCCCCTTGAGGGCAACTTGAGGCCGTTTTCTCTTGCCCTGTGTCTTTCCCCATGCCCGATGACATGTGCCCCAGCGCAGCAGAGATCTGGCCTCCAGCACCCCGCTGGATCAGAGCCAGCCTGTGCCAGAGGGCTCCGTGCCCACAGGTCCACCCAGGACCCACCCTGGGCTGTGGTTCGTGACTCAGACCCAGCGGGCTGCGGGCAGCCCTGGGACAGGAGCGAGTGGGGCGAGCAGGGTGTGGGGCAGGCAGCCAGACAGCGGCCACAGCTCCCCCAGGGAGGAGCCAGTATTTATAGGCACTGATGGAGAGGCCCCTGGAAAGCCTCAGGCCTCCCAGAGAGCGAGTTCTCAGCGAAGATGAACCAAAATAGCTGAAGCCCAGGGGTGGAGGAAGGGTCGAGCATGAGGTCAGGGAGCTCTGCTGCCAGCAGCCCCTCTGCCTTCCTTCCCCTGCAGCCTGGCCGGCATCTCCCGCAGCACCACGGTGGTCGTGGCCTACGTCATGGCCGTCACGGAGCTGAGCTTCCAGGAGGTGCTGGAGGCCGTGCGAGCCGTCCGGCCCGTCGCCAACCCCAACCCCGGCTTCAGGCAGCAGCTGGCTGACTTCGGCGGGGGCTCAGCCCGTAAGGTGGGACCTGCCCCTCTGCCACCCCTGCCCTGCCCG